CTCAAATCATTTATTCTTAACCTAACTGGAGAGGGAATATAGAGAAATACTATATTTCATCAATTCTAAGATGCATATTTTTAAATAGCTCTAAAACTGGATGTGGCTTATAATAGAAGTACATTGAAGGAAAGTTGATGGAGAGAGAGAAGGAGGAGGGAGAAAGAGAAAAAAGCTGTGTGGTGGGGCAGGCCTGTAATCCCAACACTGTGGGAGGCTGAGACAGGAGGATCACAAGTGTTTGTCCACCCTGAGCAACTTAGTGATTTATGGAGACTCTATCAAAATAAAAAATAAAAAGGGGTGCAGATGTAGCTCAGTGGAAAGGCCCTTGGGTTTGATCCCCAGTTCCAAGAGAGTGGTGGGGACTCCACTTTTATACCACCATTATCACCATTATAAAAAGGTGTTCAAGGGACAAAGCGCATTTCTCAGTGGCACATTAATTTGGTGAGGTTTTCATCCCCTTCTAATTTTCTCTCAAAGAAATCTATCCAGCTGTAGGAAACTTGCAGGGGCGGGGGGATGAGACAGTCTCACTATGTAATTCCAGCTGGTCTTGAACTAGCTAGGTAGCCCATGCTGGCCTTGAACTTGAACTTGAGTTGATCCTCCTCCCTCAGCCTTCCTGGGATTACAGGCGTGCACCACTACATCCAGCTACAGAAACTGTTGTTTACAAGAACCGTTTCCTTTTTCTCCCTCATATCTTCCCTTCAGTGGGAATGCCATGCCCTGGGAGATCCTAGGTGTTCCATTGCCCTGTCCCTCCACCCTGAACGGATCTTTACCCTTCCCTGAAGGACAGGAGCGGAAAGCTTCTGAATTCTTGCCTGCAACCCCTACTCTCATCCTGTTTGACTTGTTTGAAGGGCACTGATCAGATGAGCTTCTATAGCTACTCTATCGAACAATAGACCTACTCCTACAAAAATAAGAACAGACTGTTTCCTGCAATCTCAAAATCCAAAAAGCGGGGCTGGGGATATAGCTCAGTGGCATAAGCATCTGCCTGGCAAGCGCAAGGTTGTGAGTTCAAACCCCAGTACCGCAAAAAAAAAAGCCGGGGGTGGGCGGTGGTGCATGCCTGTAAACCCAGCACTCGGGAGGCTGAGGCAGGAGGATCATTGCGAGTTCGAGACCAGCCTGGGCTACAAAGCGAGCTCAAGGCCAGCCTGAACTGCATAGGGAGACCCTGTCTCAAAAAAAGACACACACACAAAAAAATCCAAAAAGCTTTGAAAACCAAAATCTTATAACTCTTCCGGGCAAAAAACCTGACTGGACAAACCATACTCCTACTTTATTCCACTTTGTATAATAATCCACCTGTTTCTCTGGAGAAATGTGTTGTATTGCAGGGAGTTACCCAGACCCTCATGAGGCGTTATATAATATGAACAGTACACACCAGTGATGGCAAACCTACGGCAGGTGTACTGCAGTTGGCATGCACAGCCCTTTTGGTCAGCATGCGAGCCAAGTTGCCCCAGCAGCCAAGCATCAGATAACAATGCACATAGGATTACACACATGTGCACACATACCAGACTAACAGATGACCAGAGTGCTGCAAGTGCCGACCTCAAACTAATCAAGTATGAACCAAGGTTTGACAAATTGTTTTTGCTATTGCATGCATACAGTAGCAAAGATTAGATTAATTGTGCAAAAGTACACCAAAGGCCAGCTGACCATGCCTGTGATCCCAGCACTCAAGAGGCTAAGGCAAGAGGATTGCCATGAGTTCAAGTTCACCCTGGGCAACACCTAAGGCCAGCCTGAATTATAGAATGAGAAGCTGTCTCAAAAAAAAAAAAAAAAAGACATGCCCAAAGCAAACTTTTACCTTTTAATAAAAAGCTGTTTGTATCATTGAAAACTCTGTTACTGTGTTTTTCTTTTAAAACAGAAGATGTTAATGTGTGAGTTCTTTTTTATGAGACAAGGGCTTTATTATTATTATTTATTTATTTATTTTGGTGTTTTGAGACAGGGTCTTGCTATGTAGTTCAGGCTGGCCTTGAGCTCACTATGTAACCCAGGCTGGCCTCGAACTCACAGCAATTCTCCTGCCTCAGTCTCCTAAGTGCTGGGATTACAGGCATGCACCACCACACCCAGCTGAGTTGTTTTTTCTCAACTAAAATCTCAAGATTCAGGTTTAATTGCAGAGTTGGCTCTTTGCAATAAGTGGGTATGGGGTTGCACTTCGGGCACTTGATCTCTAAAAGGTCTACCATCATTGGTACATACTATGTGTTGTTTTCTAAAAATCTAGAACAATTGGGGATTCTGAGATATTTGGCTCCAAGTTTTCATAAAAGGGGTTGTGGACAGATGGTGAACCTGTGGGGTTTAAGTAGCTCACTGAGCAAGATGGTCTTAGTTACTTTTCCCATTGCTAAGACAAAATACTTGACACCCAAAGTTAAAGAAAGAAAGGTTGGGGCTGGGGATTTAGCTCAGTGGCAAAAGCGCCTGCCTTACAAGCACAAGGTTGTGAGTTCGGTTCCCAGTACCGGAGAAAAACAAAAAAACAAAAAAAAAAAGAAAGAAAGGTTTATAAAACTTACGGTTTGTAGAGGTTTCAGTCCATAGTCCTGGCTCCAACGCAGGGTGGCTTGGCAGAGGGGCATCACAGAGCAAAGATGGTCCCAGCAAGCACATTAGCCCTCTTTCTGTCCCTTATGTGTAACACTCACATCCTTAATCCTAGCCACAACTATGCCAAACTAATCAGTGGACTGATTTAGTCATCATACCACTTGCACCACACACTCCAGCCACCTCTGAAACAGAACCCACCAATGACTGCATGAGGCTTTGAGGGACATTTAGACACAAGCCATAACAGAGACAATCCTTTCATGTCCAGGTTCCTGACTGCCTGCTGGCCAGTTTTGGTGGTGGGTAGTAATAGACCTCACACTGTAAGACCAAAATGATGCCAATTCTGTATGACTATTCTGTTCCTAGAGCACCCACTGAAACAATCAAAGCAGGGCCAATTCTCTTTTTCTTTTTTTTTTTTTTACAGGAGGAGAGGTTTATTTTGACTCAGTTAGCTGGCTCCAAGGATAGATGGGATGGCAGAGGGGCATGGCAGAGAAAAAGCTGCTCACCCCAAGGCAGCTGGGAAGGAGAGAGCAAAGCAGGGCCAATTCTCAATTGCCAACTTTTTTTTTTTTTTTTTTTTTTTTTGGTACCAGGAATCAAACTCAAGACCTTGTGCTTGCCAGGCAGGCACTTGTGCCACTGGGCTATGTCCCTGGTTTAATTGCCAACTTTTAAAGAGTCTATAAATGCAATTATTAACTAAAGGTAAAACAACACCCTATTTTTTTTGTTTGTTTTTTGAGACAGGGTCTTGCTTTGTAGCTCAGGCTGGCCTTGAACTCATGGTGATCCTCCTGCCTCAGCCTTCTAAAGGATGGGGTTACAGGTGTGTGCCACCCTTCCCAGCCCTATTTTATTTTAAATACTGGAACAAAGAAGGGCAATGGGGTTTGGGACTGTAAATCCCAGTACCAGTACTCAGGGAAAAACACTCACCATTCACAATTTCATACCCAAAAAACATCTTCACTCCTGGGACGTTCTGGCCTGTCTCCACATTCTTCACTGTCAGAGAAAACAATTTTGCTTGGTTAACAAAAATCATTACTTTCTAAAACAGTAAGAAAACAGCCCACTCCTTTAAAATTGCCAAAATGTGAATTTTTATAAAAATCCCCAAATTATTTTTCCTGAAGAGTCAATAATAAATGACAAAGCTACAGCCTTGAAATAAGTAATATCAAGAATAGAGTATACCTTGGAAAGTTTCCAGAAACTTTTTAAAAGGGATAGCAGAGGTACATTTGCAATTTGCAATTCTCCTGACACTATTCTAAGACCTTAGAGCTAAGGAATACTTAACATATTTCTATTCCTTTTTACTCCATCTAATGCCAAGAAAAAAAAATGAAGGCACCTGACTACTCCTAGATCCACCCACTCCATGTCACGTTACATGCTCAAAGGTATCAGGAACTGTGCAACTCTTGGCTCTTCTGGAAGGAAGTTAGGGGAAATTTATTGTTTGTCTGGTTTTTTTCCGGTACCGGGAATCGAACTCATGACCTCACACTTGCCAGGCAGGCACTGTGCCGCTGAGCTAAATCCCCAGCCCCTGGGGGAAGTTTAGATGCCATGTCTATAATACACTGTCCTTTTTATAGATGGAAGGACTCATCAAATGTCGTTCAGCAACCTAAATAACTGAGTTCCATCCTTACTATTCCACATTGAGGTCAGAGATTACTGACTGCCTGTTCATCAAATCCAAACCAATCACTGCAGTCTTGTCTCACTTGACTCCTGCAAGAACTTTGACATATTACTCTCTCCCTTCCTCTTTGGCTTACCGGACACTCTTTATACTTAGTTCTCTCTGTACTAATTACTGAGAGTTGCCACGCTGAGCACTTAGGCCACGCCAGGCATCCTACTTGCCTGCATTCAATTCTCCGGTAACAGAAGACAGGCAATAGGTATCACAAATGATGAATTACTAGCTCAAGGTCATACTGCTACCAGGAGTGAAAACAGAGTTGAGACTCAGTTATGGGCCTCAGTTTTTGTTTTGCAGTGCTGGGGATGAAGTCCAGGTCCTTACACATGCTAGGCA